TGGTAATGATGAACTCTGAAGTTTTTTCACATTTTAATACTTAATTACATCTATATATATTTTTCAACACTAATATTCCCACAACAACAACCTCAACATTATCATATTAGGCAACACACCTCATTCTAGAAATGACAACACACCCAAGCCCCCAAACAGCAACAACAACACAACAACAAAGACCCATGACAAGGGACCTGCAGCTAACCATACCCAGCCTGACTCAGACACCACTCAACAAGAAAACCTAGTAGATACTGAAATGACTATCTCTATTATCGAACTAAAAAGTATGCAAACCAACACCAAAAATGGAAACTGACACAGCCTTAACTATTTCTGCACATCAAGATAGCCCTAACACACTTATATACAGCCAAGTGACTAGACAAAATCTGATCAGCAATACAATGCAAATTGATGAGGACCCAACCCAAAAATGGCAAGAACACATATTTGTTGTGCTTCAGATGCAAATCGGTCTAATTGTTAATCGGGGCAACCCAGATTGCAATTTGATTTTGGGCTATCAATTTTGCCCCATATGCATATTGTAGATCATATTTACATTTTTAGAAAATAACAAATAATAATTAAATAACAACTATTTTACTATAATAAGTAATAATTAATTAACTATCGTATTGAATCTTTTTATAATAATACAATATATAATAAATTTATTCTATATACAAAAAACTTTTTTTAAACAATTTATTATAAAATTTATTATAAGATTATAATAAATTATTCTTAAAAGCTTTTTAATATAAGAACTATTAGTGTATTATAAAATGAGTTGATTTTATTAATTATATTGTATTATAATAAAAATTACTTTAATTATATTATAGTCTGAGTTTAAAAATTACTAATCGCGATAGAATTAAAAATGCAAAAAATACAATAAATAGAACCTTTTAATTTTAATTTTCTTTCTTGATGGCTTCACATAATGATATTCTTTTTTAATGCTTCAAACATTTAATGAGATTATAGATGAATATTTACTATCTTTAAGTGAAAAAAAAAGACCTAAAGCATTAATTACAGAGAATATTGCTAATAAATATTTACAAATTTTAAATAATTCTCAAGATACTCATATTGCAAACCCTAATGTGCACCACCAAGTTAAAAATAATTATTCATGCCAACGAGTTGGTGGTATTGTAACATTAATGCACAAAGAAAAATCAAACACTTAGAAACCTGTTGCTTTAAAAGAAAGATTATATTATATTATCGCAGAAGAACATCTGGCTATTGGACATGGAGATGCTAAAGCTATTTACAAACAAGTATCAGATAAATATCATGATGTAAAAAGGTGTTTAGTTGATAAGTTTGTTGAGAAATGCAAAACATGTAAAACATGCAGATTATTTATCAAACCTTTAGCCATAAAACCCATTATTAGCATTTTTTATGCAACGGCTTCAAGTATATAACATATAAACTTTAAACCTTATTTTATGTTTTAAACCTTATTTATTATAAACTAATGTTTTTATTTAAGTGCCACAAAGGGAAAACCTGTAATTCAGGCTTTTTCCTTTGCAACACTCAATTTTTTTTCTTAGATCGATCTTATAGACATGCGAACCAGAAAAGATGGTGAATTTAAATGGATAGTACATGCCAGAGATCACTTTACACGTTTTTCCTGAGCCCGCATTCTTACAGATAAATGCGCAGTGAAAGTAGCTGTATTTTTGTTTGATATCTTTACTGTATTTGGTCCACCGATCTTTCTACATAGTTATAATGGGCGTGAATTTACAGCAGACATTATCAATAATCTTACAAAACTGTGTTCAAGTCTTAAAATTATTCATGGAAAGCCAAGAAGGCCACAAACTCAAGGTTCAGTAGAAAGGGCAAACTTTGTATTAAAGAATAAACTTGAAAAATAGCTTGAAGATCGACAAAATGAAAATGATGATCTATATTGTACAGTTGGTTTGGCAACTATAGTTCATTCAATGAATTTATCTGTGTGTGTGCTACTAATAAAAGGCCATTTGAGTTAATCTTTGGTTATGAACCTCATAGTAATTATGTTCTTCTTGACCAACTTTGGTCTCAAGGAATTAGAGATGAAGAAAATATTTCTAATGACGTTCAAATTGAAGAATATTATGATGTTCAGTTTGATAATGATAATGAGGACAATATCCAGGTTGAAGAAGATGAAGACGATAGCATAAATGAGAGTTTAATAAAAATTGAAATGAAAATTTATCACAAAACGTGAATAATAATAATAGCATGTTTTTCATGATAAGTATTAACTTTATGAAAATGAAAACTAAAAATTAGAAACTAAATAAATTTTTATTTCAAATTTTTAGAATTCCTTACCTAATAGTATGCTGCAATATCTGGTAAATATTAAGAGTATTTAAAAATTAGAAGTATTTAAATTCTAAAATGTGAAATTATTCAAAATTCTAAAATTCGCTGCTATCACCTAGCATAATGGTAATATTAGAATTAAAAAAAAAAATATAATTGCACTTGATTATTAAAATGTGAAAATTTTCTTACTTTAACAAAAAAAATTTTCAGAGTTGGTTATCGTCGTCATTCTCGCCACCCAGTGTCATGGTAATATTAGTGTTGAAAAATATATATAGATGTAATTAAGTATTAAAATGTGAAAAAACTTCAGAGTTCATCATTACCA